TTTTTTCTTTTTAATTCTCTGTGTAAAAAACAAAAGCTTATTTCCTTTTTGAACACAATACACAATATATTTTAGTTGAACTTTTAAATATTTTGAGAAACTTTTAAATATTTTGGAGCAGCAAACATGTCAGGCTAAATGATTAAAATGAATCATTGACTTCTGATCACTTCATTTGTTTAAAAAAACTGATTTTTTTTACAATTAAAATGGCATCTTTACTGCTAGAAAAAAGGTATTAAAGAACGTACAGATATCTTAGTAACAGTGCAGCTAGTTTTTGACCGTTTTAAAACCTTGACTTTTCCAAACTGCGGTATATCTTAAAAACGGTTATCGTCTTATGCACCTCTAAGTGTATCATAATCTGTTTGACTCACTGAGGCCTCAAAACACAGAAGTGAGGCTTACTAGAGTAAATATGTGGTTCCTTATTGTGAATTTTTTTTTATTTTATATTTTACAGAAACGGAGGGTTTTAAAATTGACACTATGGGAACCTATCACGGTATGACGCTGAAGTCGGTGACGGTAAGTTCATGAGTTGGATTTGTTTTTCAAGTAACCATCCTATAGATGCAGACAGCAGGGGGATTTCATTTTTTGAGGAAATAACTAATTGGCTCATTGACTAACTTAAGCTGCCTTTTCACTGCACACGACAAGCGACAGACCGGGAGTCATTTATTTAGTAGTTCGGGAGCTGCCTGGAGTTCCGATTATCTCTGTATGCGGAAAAATTCAGATCCGATTCGAGCTGCCAATCCATGAAACACTTGAACTCCTGCGATATATGTGACCGGCCGACTGGATGTGATGTATTCCAGTGTTGTCCAAGCAGGTTCCTGCGCGTGAAATGATAAATTGTTTTTTTTTTCGTTATTTTTTAAATAAAAAAATCTATATTAAAAGAAACATTTCTTTTCATAAATGAGTAATAAAAAATATTGTTTATTTAATATTGTCACCACAGTCCTTCTATAATCTTTAGGGTCTATACGTTTCTAGTATTCATTCATTTATTCATTCATTCTACCAGGATGAATTCACGGAAAACAAAGGCTCTTTCATTTGCACTTTTTTTTTTATTTCGGACACCGCGAGAATCAGCTTTTCTCCCATGGTGCACAACAAAACTGAAAATTCTGTGCAACTGCCAAAAGGGCGCGTGTTCCGACAGTCATGTCTGAATGCCGTGTGCAGTGGAAAGGCGGCTGTAGGGTGCACTCACACTAGGCTATCCAAAATATGACCTGGGGTTTTTCCTGTTTTGTTTGACAAGTGTGAATGCTCTGAATCAGGCCCAGGCGCAGTTCCGTTGGCTGGCCCTGGCCCGGTTGTGCCAAAGCGTGGTTTAGTTGGGCTTTGGCATGGCGCCCTTGGAGTTTGAGTGCAAAGTGCACCTGAGTACGAAACTGAAGACGCGATGTCACTTTTTAAAGCGCTATTTCATATGCATTTATTAATTTTTTTTTTTTTTACTTTTTGATGAACACAAAATGTCATAGTTAATTAAATAGGCAAATCTACAGCTGCACGACAGCTGCACCAGCCTGGTTTTAGAGGGGTTTTGGCCACTTCCAGGCCGGTTTCCAGCCATTTCCAGCCTGGTCCTAGCTGACTAGCCAAATCCAGCTAAAACCAGCTGGACCAGCCTGGTTTAAGCTGGACATAGCTGGTTTTGGCTGGACTCCAAGCTTGGCTAGGCTGGTCAAGCTGGTTTTAGCTGGACATCTCCCAGCCTGACCAGCTAAGACCAGGCTGGAAATGGCTGGAAACTCTGCTAAAACCAGCCAACCAGCCTAGGCTGGTTTAAGCTGGATTTTTCAGCAGGCTGGTTTGTCAATTCACACACATTTTTATCATCACATGATCTCTTACAACAAAATCACATGACCTTTTTGTAATGCACATTCATTAGTTTATGCGCATCTTTTCGTATTGAATAAGGTTTATCTTACTCCGTTATGCAAATACATTGTTTATGCGCATTTTCAAAATTTACGCACATCTTGGCGTTACCATCAACCATTTTTCTTCAATTTTATTTGTTTATTTTACTTTTTTTAAATGCGTGTAAAAATAGGTTAATGAAAACCTAGCTAATGATGCTCACTGAAAGCGCTCATGCAGCCGGATTCAAATAAAAAATTTCTGTGCATAAACAAATGTGGAGCTGATGGGAGGTGGCTAATATATCACACAAATAAGTCTTTGAATAGAAACCTCCTGGAAACCCATTGTTTAGTTTTACAGTAACAAAATGGTTAGCAAAAAAAAAAAACCTCTCCTTACTGACTGAATAACAGGTTATCTGGTTGCTAAGCAACTACGTAATTACACCATTTCAAGTATTTTGTCTGTGTTATGTTCTGTTAAATGCGTTTTTTATGTTCATATTGGTGGCAAATTTGCTGATATTCATACTTTGACGAAAAGCTAATATTAACCAATTAAAATCCGCAAAAGATTTTTTTGTTTGCTTTGTTTTTAGACTAAAAACAAATATTTTACCTGTTTTTATACTTTAGGATTTGCCAAGTTTGTTAGTTTGGTTTGAGTATGCAGTGTTTCCCACAGAATTATACTGTGAATTATGCGGTGGTATTTCCCCCTGGGAAATTATATAACATCAGAAATAGTTGTTTCCCTGGTAACGGCTGTAATGAGTCCAGTGCTAGCGCTGTGCTGAGCTCTCCATTGGTATTTTATCAGGCATTATAGATAAATCTAAATCAAAATGACATTGATGCTTTACTGCAGACAGTGTTTTTTCAAAGATACGTTCACTCTGCCACATTTAGATTTTGTAAAACATACAGTACTCATGTTGCGACGATGTCATAAATTAAGTAAGTAAAATTGTGGTTGATTAAGTTCAGCAATCTGAGTAAATACTTTTATCATGGATGACGTCTGGTCCTTGATTAGAGGGCGAAGCTTGGTATCATAGAGAAAAAAAGTAAGAGCTAAAAGAAAAGAGAAAGAAAGGAAGTGATACAGGGCCTCTGGCAGTCATGGAAGACTCGCGCTTAAGTTTGTTGTTTTAACAAAGTTTTGCTTTCTCCATGGAGAATATGCATTTATTTAATGCTCCGCTGTTATTATTTTATCAAAAAAACCTTTTTACATTTTAATTGAAATCATTATTTTAGAGATTATGTCTCGATATATGGGTTCCTCTCTCACTTGCGGTTCAAGTGCGCGTGTTGCTTGATGAAAAGACAATGACAACGCGCGCATATGTTGACTTTTTTGTAAACCGTTTTGTTGCTTAAACATGATATTGCATTAATTTGCATACATGCTTTATATAATGCAAAATGAAAGGTAAAGCCTATTTGTTGATTAAGACGCAGATCCAGGAGGCTATCAGCATCAGCGCTGGTTTGGCATCAACTTGTCAAGTTGATCAAACAGCAATATTCTTCATTTTGCTTCTTTGGCAAATATGTCTGTAGGCATGTGTGGTTATACGTTATCATCTCGCGAGTTAACAAATGTGTGTTGCAGTTGCACATTAAGGGGCCGTTCCAAAAAAGTTAGGTACACCACAATGCCCTTTTTGTTGACGAAAAAAAGAAGCGTGGTGCTCTTTTTTTTTTTTTTTTTTTTATATGTCACTAGGAAACGACTGAATAAGCAGGGTATTAATTGTGCAAGAGTGTTGCTGTCCATGTTATGTATAATATTGTGATGTTTGTGATATGTGTGACTTTCAAAGTCATACAGCTCTGAATAACTTGAAATAACGAGCACTAGTCTCTCCTCCATCTTCAGTGGTTCCTCTAGGATTTTTTTCCAGCTGTGGGGGCAGACCTTTTGCACAAATCTACCAAGTACCTATAACGTTATTTCAATGACAAATAGAGAAATGTTGTGAGCCCAGTATTACAAGTCCAGATCGCATTCATGTAATACGAGCATGCAAATCTTTTCATGCACAAAGTATGCAAATCTGCTCATACCAAAACCTCTTGCACGCCCTCAAATATACGCTGCTCAAGCACAGATGGTCTTGTGCTCTCTCAAATAAACACTGCTGAAGTGCAATTTAGTGCGTTTATGTAGTGAGTGTCTCCAACATTTATTAGATTTGCTAGGCATATTTATCCAATATTCTCCAATAGTCTCCAATAGACCTACAGAGCGGCGTTGCTGCGTCCTGAAGTAAAGTGAAACGGCTATAAACTCCAGCAAAATAGTCATTGTATGCAGAACCATAGACTTTTATCTATAAATAAATTAAAATTATAGTAACTGTGTTCATCCTAACTGCTACGTCGTGTTTGCTGGCTTCACACATCTTGCACCTGTTATTCAGTCAGTCAGTAAGTCAGCATGTAACCTCAAAGGGTTAAATCAATAATGCACAGGACTACTACGATTACAGAAAAGTTTGCGGTGTTTTAATTAACTTTTTAATGTGTTTTTGGTGCAGTTATAACCCGCTTTTAAAAACAACAACAACAATAACTGATTGTTTTGAATGAGAAGCTGTAATGTAGCTGTGGCAGGATGCATTTTGGTGTGGCGCCCCACCATGGGAGAATGAATGTAGCAGAAACCACGTTTCTTAAAAGTCCTCTGTAGTTGTCATGACAACACAAACACTGCTGCTCTGGGATGAGCTGCACGCAAAACACTTGCAGCCATTAGTGAACCATTCAAACGATTCCCCTCTTAACACAAAAAAGCGCATTCGATTGGCCTCTTATGCAGCCGAACTCTAAAAATAAATAATATTTTTTTATCGTTTAACTGATACCATTAATCGGTTACAAACACACAGTTGATAGATTATTTTGAGCATCCCTAATGTGTGTCAAGTTTAACCTCTTCAAACCATTCATACTTTATTATACAGTGTGGCAAATGCACCATTTCATTTGGAAGCAGAAGCTCAAGGTTTCTGTCTTTTTAAAATGAAAATAGTTAAAGCTTCTTGCCACCCCCTTTTTCAGACAAGGTTGGTGGTTAATCTTGCAATGACAAACAAAGCATGTGCATATCTTTAATTCTCATTTGAGTATTACATTAAGTTCTCTCTCAAGAACTGTCAAAAAAACACAAGATCATGTCAAACCAACATAAATAACACAAGTTCACTTTTTTTTCTTTGTGCAAACAATTGGGGAACCGATCACAATCTTATGACACATACATTCCCGAAAGATAATTCTGGACAAAATTCAAGGTGTTTGAGTGAGTTCAGAAAACATGCTAACTGGTATAAAGATTTACGCTCTTTGGAGTTTGGTGTGTAAAGGTGCTTTCACACTTGGTTCACTTGCCTGAGTTCGATTGTCCCCAGTACGCTTGCGTCATTAAGCTGATGTTTTGTGTACAGCTGTTGCTACGTGACTGCCACAAAAGCAAAGCAACAAAATGGAGAGGTCCACATATCATTCTACTTTTACTGATTCTTTTGCTTTTGTGACCAGAACCAAAATACAGAGAGCTACTCTCATCTATCTGCCGTAAAAACCTATAAAACATTCAGAATATCACAGCTATGTCAGCAAAAGTCGTTTTTGGTGGTGACAAGCAGACATTATTGCTGTTTGCACTGGGTCAGTCTCGCTTATCACAAAGGTAGGGGGTACACAAACATGCACAAACAACTGAACGATATAAAGACTAAAGTGTGTTGTACAGTTGGCGATTCAGTTACGTTAATTAGTACGATTGTATTCATATCAAAAGTGAAATGTACCAAAGTTTGCACGAATCGTTCCCCAGACCATCTCTTTCAGGCGGACTCCAGTACGGTTCACAGGTGCGCACCCAAGTTCAGAAGACACGTTCACACTAGCTAAACGTACCGTACTTGGATTTCAAGCGAATCTGGCTGCAGACCAAAAGTGCTAGTGTGAAAGCACCCAACAACTCCTAAAAGAATCCCTTTAGTTTTTTCTATTAGGCAAAAAAGTAGTCATCAAAAAGAAGACTGAATCAGTTTGAACCTTCTACCCTTTTCTCTGGCAAGGATTGTGCTTATTGTTCTGGAGATGCTTCCAATACTGGATTAGCTCATTGGGGTGAAACCCATGCGAGGTGACCAGGTTGCTGTATTTGCAGCTGGAGTAGGACACTCGCCAGTGATTGAACACCTTTTTGTTTGTTTGAGGTACTGGCTTTATTCCTAATTTAGCCAGACAGATGCCCACATAAACGTCTTCTAAATGCAACCTGGGTATGCTCAGGGAGGCCACATATATTCTCTGAGCCATATCACCTGAAAAGACATACCCTGTCCCAGAGCAAAAGTTGGGGTATCGCCTATCCGGGTACAGTTCAGGTGGCATATACCACTTGCTGCGAATGTTGCGGTTTGGGGAGAAGTCCATCATTAGATATCCTGTAAAATACTTCCGTTCTTGTCCGTTGGGTTTCAAGATTTGATGTATGAGGTATTCAGTGTTGACAAACATATCGCTGTCAGTCTTCATGACGTACATGGCCTCTGGACAATACTTTGTGATCCAGTACATTCCCATTAGAGTCTTTAAGGTAAGGTTTTTGTAAGAATCCCTGTAATCTTGCTGGATGATGTCATGATGTTGTCGGCTTTCATCTTCTATCGAAAGCTGTAGTTTTCCTCCATTGCTCTGGGTGTCTTTGTTGACCCCTATGAGGAACAGACGGATTACACCTAATTCCCCAGCCAAACTTTCATTGCCCCAGGTTTTCCTGATAGCATCCCTGGCGTCTGATTTCTTGGGCTCAACAGCGATCAAAAGCACTAAGAAAGGAGCCCGCAGCAGACATGCATTTGGCTCATTGTGGATGTACTTGTAAGGCTCATCTTTAAGTATCCTCTCTGCTCTCATCTCTCCACTTGAACTGATGTTTGAGTTTTTAAAGTCCTGCATTAAACTTTTATCCAAAGCTGAAATGACATTTTCACTTGATATTAGTGGTGTGCTAGACTCTTCAGGCTCTCTCAATTTGTTTTGGTTCATCATGGTGTAGTTGAAGACTTTCATAGTTTGGGGCCCTTGAGATGCAAGCTTTTCTTGGTTTGTTTGACCGGACCACCAGTGACCCTGCATAATCAGGCCTCCTACAAATACTAGGACCATGAGGAAAAGAGCAAGACTGCAGTATCTGTGCCGCCGCTTCCATCGCCTCATTACTTTGGATTTCTGATTTGATTTGTTTACCTCTTTGGAAGTCCAGATATGTAAGGTCCTGCCAAAAAAGAAAATAAACTTATTTACTGCAAACATATTTTTAGTGTGTTTTAAATGCGTTGATTTATTAAACCAAGCTTGGTGTACTTCACTTTTGGCAGCTGTAAAGCCTAGTCAAGTGACTAATGTTTGGTGGAGCAGTCTTGGTATAGCGGTTAGAGAGTGGTCTAAAGTTCGCAGGTTTTAGCATTGGCCTCGGAAGAGATTGTAGGTGGAGTTAGTGAATAATCAGCTTGCTATTCCACCCTTTTACCCCAATACCACGACAGAGGTGAGACCCTTGAACAAGGTATCAAACTCCCATCTGCTACCTGGTGTATCAGTGTTTGCCCACGTCTTCTGGTGTTCACTTTCTTTTTTAAACTTTTCCATGATAGATTCTCATCAATCTCAAGCTCATTATTTTAAAAGTCCATTGCTTGCTGGCTCTGAATACAAATACACAGATAAACAATGGTTCAGAAGAGGAGTTGGGTTTAAATGTTTGCTGTATGTGGCACTCTTTAGTTTCCACCAAATTAAAAAAGGTGTATATGTACCACCTAATATACATTTGCCTGTAATCATGTATTTGCATCGACTTGCACAAATACTTAATTTTGCTTTTGGTGTCAACCCAGAATATTATAAAAGCTGTGGCATTGTGCAAATTTGCCACACAAGTTGACATTGTGCAAATTTTTGAATCAATGTTCTTAAGTGAAGTGAAGATTTCCTGTGTTCAGGTTAGTAGGGAGTAGTGAATACTTTTGAAACCCTAAAATTCTGAACACAGTTTATTTATCGCACTGGTTATCTATAACAGTGTGGCACAAGGACAGGAACTGAGAACCACTGATGCAATCATCACACAATTGCATGGCAGTGGTGAATAGCATTGGAATAGCTTTCTAAGCTAAACTGGACCAGTTGGATTTTAAATAGAACTACACCTGCATTCTCCCACTGCTCTCCTGCTTGCCTGATATGCTGGAATATTCCACATTTTTAAAATACTGTAATGGCTTTTTATGTACCTTTAATTCATCTACAGTTCAAGTCAGAATTATTAGCCCCGCTTTAATTTTTTTTTTCTTTTTCAAATATTTCCTAAATGATGTTTAACAGAGCAAGGAAATTTTCACAGTATGTCTAATAGTATTTTTCTTCTGAAGAAAGTCTTATTTGTTTTATTTTGGCTAGAATATAAGCAATTTTAAATTTTTTAAACACCATTTCAAGGACAAAATCATTAGCCCCTTTAAGCTATATTTTTCTGATTGTTTACAGACCGAACCATCATTACACAATGACTTGCCTAATTACCCTATCCTGCCTAGTTAAACTAATTAACCTAGTTAAGTCTTCAACTGTATAGAAGTGTCCTGAAAATTATCCAGTCAAAAATTATGTGCTGTCATGGCAAAGATAAAATTAATCCGTTATTAGACATGAGTTATTAAAATTCTTGTTTAAAAATGTGTTGGAAATAAATCTCTCCATTTAAACAATTAAGTGGAAAAATACACATGGGGCTAATAATTCAGGGGGGCTAATTATTTTCACTTTAACTGTATGTAAAGCTGCTCTGACATAATCTACATTGTAAAATCACTATAAAAATAAAGATGACTTGATTTGATACCAATATTCATATGCCTACTTTTTTTAAGTGACTCTAATCATATATTTTTGTTTTAATGTGTAATATGATGTTATAAATATTGTTGAAATATTTATATGATGTTAAATGTGCGATTGCGTTAACTTGCATGCGCATAAACATTATTGTAGCACTTGTTTAGTTTGTTTTTTGAATACACAGATTATGAAAAATCAGTTGGTGGCTGGGAAATAGTTAACATTCCTTTTTTATTCCTATTTTATTTAGCATAAATACTATTTTATTCTTTTACCAGTAAATGATAATTTCTTATCAAACAACATGTAATTCGATCACATGAGATGTTAAATGGGTTATTTCATTCATTGAAAATAGTCTTACTTTACTTTTTATTTTTACATTTACTATGTTATGAAATTATCATTTACATTTTGGTGAACTGTCCCTTTAATGAGAGCTGTAAAAATAGCAACAGTGTTGAAGAGTCGAATTTGTATTTTAATATCTATTGTGTTGGACACACGTCAGAACGACTGCTTTCATATATGAATGCTTTCGTGTGTGTGCTTGTTGAATTTCCGGATTTCCTAGTAAGAATCAGTTGCATTAGATCAGTATTCGATGGAAATGTAATATTTGACGTACCTTTCGCTTGGTCTGAATAAAACTGTTGCTCATCGTCTGCTCCAGCAGTCTCTTTGTAGATGCATGCTTTGTGCTGCTTTATCACTAAACCATTGGAGCTAGCTCCTGCCATTCCAACATCTTTCTTCTCCAATGATTTGCCACTCCTCTGCTTTATATCCGTCTGCTTAGCAGCTAGCCTTTCTGCAGATGTCACACGTAATGTTTTAAGCAATTCAGTGATTTGCCATTCCTTTTGGTGTTTCTGTATTCGTAATTTCAGTTTCTTAGACCTCTAACTGCCTCTCCCATGTCGAAAAATGAGTCAGACATGATAACGATGCACAACGCAAAAACATTTCAGGGCTGACTTATTGTTCAGAGAGTGGTCCAGCTCTATTTCTTGCAGAATGTCTTTCCTCTTGCCATGCAGCGGTTTAATTCTGTGTGGAGCTTTGTCCTTTTCTGCTGCCGTGCTGTTCTGATCGTTAGAAGAAAAGAAGCTGGGGGAAGGGAGGTGAAGATATGCGAACACGTTGCTCTGCTGACATCCTGCATCACACACCCATTCCTCTGTGTGACCCGTTTCAGCAAGCATCTTCCCTTATGCTCTGTGCTCACAACATGTCTTTTAATTGTGATGTTGAACTGCAGGCACACATTTCCCAGAAGATTTCTGAAATGATTGTAAACCTGCAAAATCGTTGGAAATTTTTAAACCGGTTTATTTTATCTGTTTTGTGTCTCTTTGCATTATTATTATTGTTATTTATTTTTTTTTACTATTGCTGACTGGCTGAGTGATTCAGATTTGTAAAATTGTGTTCAAAAATCAAGGACACCCCCCAGTGGGTACAAAATTGTAAATGAATGCACAGTTTCGCTTAGGTTGTTTTCTTCAAAACGGCCTATTTTGACTTGTCTGTGAGCTTGCATGACGAGAAACGAGACCCAAATATGTTTTGGTGTGTCAGATCAAAAGATGTAGTGCAACTATTTCAGAGAAGTACTTTGGGAAATATTTCTTCGAAGTGTGATGACATTGCGAGTTGTTGTATCTATTAAAAGCTGATTATATCAGCTCTTCTTAGACACGCCTGTCAAGATTGAAGCTCAATATTAGAATAGGATCTCCTATTTCAAAGTAGAAGGGGGTGTGACAAAAGAGCTTGTATTGTGCACATGTTCAAACAATACTGTCTCGCTAGCCTCAAATGCTATATATTCAAACTGGGCCTATTTTGGGGCAGGTATATACGCTTGTAACATCTTGCTGTTCTTCTTGACAAAGCAGCCCAGTGATGACTTCGGCAGTTTGACCTGTGTAGCTGCAACAACTTACACCTTTGACTCTTCTCAGTGCAGTGTGTGAAAGTAATCCTTAGTAGAGCTTATGAGGATATGAAGAAATTAAAAGGGTTGGGATGCTTCGATTAGGATTCTTCCAGCTGATACGGAGTACTGATTCCTTGTCATGGTGATCGGCCGATACTGATCACAGATTCTGATGCTTCAAGCTTTATAATGCACATTTTCCCTACAAGTATGGTGTTAAATGGAGATCTCTCTTTACCTAGAATGAATTAGAGATGTTTCATATAATTCCTCAAACCATTTTGGTGTGAACATGTCCTGGTCAGAAGCAACTTTACAGAAAAAAAGTTGATAAAAAAGATTTTTAAAAATGGTAAGAGAAATTACCAACAATGCAACTTAGAAATGTTGCAGATGACGGAAAAAGAATTCAACCTGTTTTAATCAAGAAAAAGTTTGGAGCACAAATTTGATGATAAGAAGATTCTAGGGCTGCACGATTCTGGCTAAAATAAGAATCACAATTTATTTTTCTTAAAATCATGATCATGATTTTCTTACGATTCTGTAGATAAAGGTTAATGTGAGTAGGCTATTATTATTGTTATTCTCAAACATATGGTAAAACAAAAACAAAGATATTAGGCTTATGTGTAGGTCTACTGTTGGGTAAAATGCTAAATTTTGTATAGACTTGGAACGGTGGACTTGAACAGACTTTAAATTTGTCCTGTTTGTTAATTCACCGTAATGACATCAGAATGCAACTATTCATAATTCTAAAGTTGAATTACTGCGGTTGGGACATATGCTTGCAATCTGTCACTAACAACATTATTTGACCAGTAAAAATTTTTTTTTTTGCTCAAAGATTCTCTCTTGCATTATATTCAACTTTATATAGGCTAGAGTAATTAATACTGACACTGTTAAACATTTATTCTCCTGCACAACACTTTGCGTTTACTATGAAAGCAAGAACATACCCAATGGTTGTCATAATCGTACCTGTAAAATGCGATATGATCATTTGAATGATGCTTTTGGTTTTACTTTTACTGCCAAGTGCGGTTCCAGTCATGACTGCCATGCACGGACTAAAAAAAAAACCCATACATGCAAATCATACTTCCTGCGCATCTCTCCAACAATTTATTTGCAACAAACTGAATGTTATTTACAACTTTATAACCTGTTATTCACAGTCTATGCATGTTCTGTGCACTCATCCTCTCAGTAGTTAACAAACTGCTCGCTTGTCAGCCACGAATAACATTAACACAGAAAATACATTTCGGGGTAAATTCTACTTAAAGTATCCAACACTATTTGGAGGTGAGCAATGTATGTAAAACAATGTGAAGACTTGCGCGATTGCCTTTAGGATTTTCCTGACCTTGATAATATACTTGGCTGAATCGTAAAGATGCTGGATTAAGATCATGTGAGGGGTCGACTCGTGATCTTTTTTTTTAATTAATCTTGCAGCCCTAGAATAACATACATATTAGTTCTTTACTTAAAGGAATTAGGCATATAGACCACTGTTTATTGCAATAAGTATATTACATAAAGGTATATTATTAATAGAAAAATAGCTTTTTTTTCTTTATCTAAAAATTCCATCCAGGTTTTATTAAACTTGCTATATCTTCGAAAAAATTTTTTAAAAGTTCCAAGTACATGCAAGGCCTTCAAATATTTTTCTGATCTCCAACTATTGACAGCAGCTCCGGACAGCCTCGCAGCAGCTCAATTGCTCAATGAGAGAGGTGGAAGGAGTTTTGCTCTCGTGATATCTTTACTGATCTATTAATTTAACCTGACAACTGTGATGCTAGGAACCTCACTGTTCCTCTGGCAATGTTCTCATGCCCATTTATTCTCATTGTCATGGTTTCTCATGTATTTTATCTAATTTAAGCAACCCAAAGCTGCTATGAATATGCAAGTAACCTGCGAGGCGTCAGGGAGAGGTCTTAAGGGTTGGATGAGACACTAGATATACAAGATGTAGACACTAGATATGCTGGATGTACAATGGTTCGAGCAAAGAGACCATCATTATAGCTGTTAATAAACATGTTGCCCATTTTAATTCCAATCAAGGAATAAATTGTCCATTTTGTACTCAAACCAAAACATTGATGCATTTGTTCTGTGGGTGTAATAGACTGGGGGTGCTGTTTGATCTATTAAAACAATAGGTTTTAAAGTAGGTAGAATTTTTCATTTTTTCTTTTTGCTCGTCAAAGAAAAATGAATCTCTTGTTGAATTTTACTTTTGGAATAGTAAAATTTTCCAAACAGATTTCACGGAAAACCGATTTCATAATTTAAGGATCAAACATTTTAAGCTAAATTTTTCATAAATTAACAATCCATTTACACTTTTTTTATTGACAAACGAGCTTTTGGAAATTTTAAAGAGTGTAGTATTGTTGATAGCGATTGAGAGTTGGTTTTATCATTTGAAAATGTTTGTGCAAAGATTATATAACTGTTATGTTTTAAGTGTCAATTTCGGAATAAAAATATTTCTCTTTTTCTCTCTGTGTGTAGGAAGGAGCATCTGCTAGAAAAGCCCAAACACCAGCTATGCAGCCTGTTCCCAGACCAGGTAAAAGAAAATAAGTCTTCTACTTGGATGACAACCATAACATTATGTTTCCACGAAATCCTTAAGTCTGTAAAACAGTAAAATAAATAAATAAATAAATAATGACCCTAGATAGTTTTTAAAAATACAGAAACATGTATAAAAGTCCGAGAAAGTGCATGAATTTATTGTGTAAGGCTCAGCAATAAGGTGCAATTCAAATTCTACCCCTTCCCCTTACCGTAGGGGTGTCCGAATTCTCTTTAGCTTAAAGGCGTAGGGCTAAGGGGAAGGGCTAGATAGCTCTCGAAATGAACATTTTTCAGGAACACACTCAACTAAGGGGTAAGAATTTTCCAGAATACACCATCTACACTGACAGCATGGCTGCACACGGAAGTCAGGAGATGCACAAATCAGTATTTACTGTCATTATTACGAACTTTTACAACAAACAAGCATGTCTTTTAATACATTCATAGCCGTGTTTGTTTTTTACCGTCATGCTTAAAAAAATAAAATAAATAAATACATTTTGCCATCTATAATCCCTAATAATAACTCCTGTATAGCAGTTCTACAACATTTTGTCACTTGAATACCCTGTCAGAAGGTCTAGTGGCTATGAATGAGCTTTTACAGTGTCTGGTATAATGTTAATGCAGTTTACATGATTATGGCCACAGTGTAAATGCACAGTACAGTTACAATCTTATTGCTACATTAAATCGTTCTGATAACATAATATACGCCTTCAGTGATTTGACTACAGCAGTCACCGTCATCGATCTCGATGAAGCAAGTAATTGCAAAGACGTGTGCAGGTGCTGTGGTGCTGTCCCATTTCTTTGGGGTAAATCTTCCCTTTCACACTCCGTTTTAAGGGCCATGGGGTAGGGTTGCAAAAATAGAACTGGAATTGGGCGAAAGGATGGCGTCTATTAAAGATGCTCGGGACAGCAGGTGGAAGCCAAAGGAAATTTTGGGATGGGATTTAAAAATCTTTACCATCTTTACAATCTTGCCTGATTAGGCCTTATATTAATAGTACTACCATATTAATCACTCTGGTCCAGTTTTATTTTACCAACACTTATAATTGCTTATTTGATTTCCATTAGATATTAACATTTATACATTACATTAAGTGTTTCCCACATCAGGTCCTTTGTGTTGCACATTGCCATGAAGTCCAGTCTCACTCAAAATTTGATGTTGCCCAAATATTATATTTAATGTAATGTTAAATTATTGTTCTTGTTAGGACGATGTAAAAACCCATGAGGCAAAAAAAAAAAAAAAAAACTTAAACATTCTTATGTTCGAAAACTTGCAAAAGTGTATGGCAGATCATTTTACAATACAATATATGATGTTCCAAATTCGCTTCCATGGATACCCGTAAGGGACGCGATAGTGGGGAAAAATGGTTGTGAGAAAAAAAAACTGAGGGATAGGAATATTTTTATTGCAATACTTATTTTGTTTTACTTAAAAGCCAAGAAAAGTACACTAGTTCCTAGTGTATTGTATATAAAAAAATTAACACTGAAATCTCACACCGGCTGGTAGCCCATGTACAAACTGGGGGACACATAAAATCCTACACTTTGAAAAAAAAAAGACATAAATGTGAAGTTTGATAAGTACAAATATGTTTATTTGAAATGGCCAATTTATCTTTAAGTAAACATAACTAAACCATC